GGACGCACCCGAGAGTGACGACAGTCGATTGACGACATCCTGATTAGTGCTGGACCACTCCGCAATAACGGGTGAGTTCCTGATACGTTAGGTTAGGTATCTACATGTCCAAAGAAATCTTCTGGGCTGCGCTCCCGCGCTCCTTGAAAGCTCTAGAGCTATTCTTAGACTTTTCCTACTTCCATGCGGAATCCGCACAAGATTCTTTGTCGTTTGGAATTTTTCCTCTGGCAGGTCTGTCAGGACCATTGTGGAGCTTCCGGTTTCCCTTCATGCTGCACAGTGGGACGTTAAGGGATCCTGAAACGGTGCGACTCTAATTAGAGGTCCGTTTTGTGGCTGACGGTGGGACCGCTGCAGCCACTGCACCGACTGCACCGACTGCACCCACTGCACCCACTGCACCCACTGCTGCCACTGCACAAATTAGAGTCTAATTGGTCGGAGCAACTTTGGCTCTGCATTTTCATTGAATGTTTCCACTTTAGCTACCCCAGAGCGCGGCTGTACTGTGAATTTTCACGATTTGAGATTTGCCATTCCTGAAGCTTCTATCTGTTTTGATTCGAATATAAAACAGAACAGGCTAGAAAAAGGTCCGGTACACAGATGAGCGACGTTGATGCTGAAATTGTTGCTGACGTTGTTAAGGAATCCTGTACTTTGAAATAGGTGGAAGGTGGAACACCGAGATCTCTGGGAATAAAATTCCAAGGACCTGCCGCTTCGAGATTCGCGTCCGACTCTCAACCTTCAACTACTACTTGCTCCCCTATACTGGACTTAACGTCGAGTTTCTAACTTTTTACTAGAATCTACCCGAGCCCACATAAACGTACTCCAGCCGGAAAGACCACGTGAATCGGTTGTGCCGATGCTGGCGCAGGCGTCACGGGACTTTCTCTAAAGACGATCCCCCTCGCTTTCTCCCTGCCACAGACCTGCCCCTAACATTCCCGCTCCCCTCGCCAATGTAGTCCGTTAACTTTTTTTTTTTTACGATTCCCCCTGAGCTACAAGAGAAATGGCACTTTTCTTTCTGGTTTCGACTATTTTCTTCGATATTGCTGTGTGTCGGTGACTATGTGAGTTTAGGGTGCTAAGAGAGGAGAGAAGGAGAGAAGGAATGAGAGAACGGGAGAGAAAAGAAGCTGTGGAATACGAGTGAGAGACGATTTTTTTTTCTTTTATATAATTTTCCGTAAAAGCTGCGCGTATATATCGGTTTCATTAATTTCCTATCGTATTTCCACTTATTTACGGTTCCCTATTCGCACGGCGACGCATGCCTCCATTCTTAAAGCTCTTTTCAGGGGTCTACAGTTAAGCTCATTTTCTTCGATTTCTTCCAGTCGGCTGCTCGGCGCGAATCCTGCGAGATTCCTACAGGACACGAAGGATAACTCGAGGGATACGGGCAGAGGCAGAACACGTAGAACACGTAGACCGCGTAAGCACGTTCCTGCGAGGGTGCTGAGGCCAGGGGCGGAGTGGTGGTTCCTTGGTTCCCCGGTTCCTCTCGGTTCCTCCCTTCGGCCCGAGGCGACTGGTCACGAGTGTGCACGAGTGTGCACGAGTGTGCGTCGGATAGTTGCGTGTGCCGAGTCGGCACACGCAACAAGGCGCTTCGATCTCGTGCTACGTGAGAAAAAGCAAGAAGGAAGAAAGGAAGGAAAGAAGGGATCTCCTGCTTCGTTAACAGAGGCGTCCGAGTCAAGATCTCACAGGCCACAAGAGCGGGAGGCTGAGTGAGAATCGCAGACCGAGCAACTGCAACGCTCGGAACTCGCAGGATCCTGGATACTGGATCCTGGATTCTGGCTTCCAGTACAGTTTCGATTGAGCCTGAATCCTCCGGGCTGACTCGGCTTCTCGTAGACCAAACCATTCTGGTCTCGGTTTTCATGCTATCAGCTATCCAGTCGTCCAACCTACCCCTGCCACTCTGGCAGCGTCTGGCAACCCCTGCCCCCCTGCCCCCTTCCTTCCAGGGAATCTACCCTCTCGTGTTTACAGGCCGACTAATCAGGATAGATCTGCTCTTGGTAGACCGCCTCCGTTTCTTCGGCTCGAACGAACTAACCTCCCCCTCCTCCGTTGCCCTTATCACCGGCGGCCTCCATCCTCCTCGTCGCGAGTTTTCTGCATTATTCTTCTTTCGCTCCTCTCACGCTTCTTTAGACAAAAAAATCCGGCGATTTTGGATTACGTGTGGCTGCTACGAATTTCATGCGAAGCGACAACGGAGCAGGTAGGTAATGATTTATTAAAAAAAAAAAAAAAAAAAAAAAAAAAAAA